AACATTTTCAAATTTTGCAAAAGTCAAGGAAAATCCTTTGCTCCGCGTAAAGGATATAAAAAGAATCGATTTGATCCTATTTATAGTTTGAATGATGTACACGCGATGCAATTCGAAAGTGATTTGTCCTAACCGATGCGAACATCTAAACGATCTTAGAAACGATTCTCGATTTGGTCATTCAAGATTAACGACATCGTTTCGCATCGTGTTGTACCGGAGGAAGAGGCAACGTTTTCCAACTGTACAAAGATACAGGCTCTGCAAAGCTATTTAAACTATGTACCTCGAACAATTATCCCTATGTTAAATCCAACAATCCTGAATAACTTATCCGCGAAACAATCATCCTCTCTGTCCCACACGATTTCAATCATCCACTGTTTAACACGTGTCAGCCTTTCGTGAATCATCAAAGATCCCATTAAATCCTCGCAAAAACCTCGTAAGTAACCAACCTACGCTTTGGATTCCCGTACTTGTGGATCTCGACCCTCGAATAGGATCTCGAATATGTTTTTCTTTTTTTGAACACAATTCTTCTGATTAACTCTTATGGAAAAAAGTGTATCGTATTAAGATAATCCAATATTTGGAATTGAAAGGAAGGGGTGATCGATTTATCTCAACCTTACTTCTTACTACAAAACAAAAGGGTCGCGATTCTAAAACTGTTTGATAGACATCTCAATGGAACGATTCAGTCTAGCATCCGGCACTTGAAAGAAAAATCAACCGAATTATTTCCTCTATTAGCCACGATTATTAAAATAATGCGAAAAGATAGGAGCTTTCGACCCACACCCTGTGTCTGGGCCGGCTGCAGCCGGGTGTCTGACTCAACCGGAAGTTGGCCGGGCACCCCTCTTCCTTCGTGCCACTTCTTCTCTCCCTGCATCGCGGCTACCTGAAGCCGCATTACGCATAATGGGCGTACAGTGTATATACGCATAGACGAATATGCTTGCGCTTATGGGAGGGCTCGGTTGGGATCGTGGATGAAAGAACGAGGGACGTTTGCGAATGGGTCGCTCGTTCGGCACGGGCCATGGATCGCCACCGAACCGTGAATCGCACGAGTCAGATCTCCGAGTTCATCTACGGTGCGCGAAATTAAGCACGAAACGATTCAGATATATACGATTTTTTCTTTTATGTTTTGTACATTAGGAAATTTCTAAAAATTTGTTTTCGATTCCTTTGATTGTCCATTTATAATGAAATGGATTCAAAATAGAGGTTTTTACTTGAATATACGGATAGAAATCGCTGTATATTGTACGTGTGTAACTAATCGTTGTGATTCTCATAATTGACGAATTTCCATATCTGATATGTACGATTTTGTTTTACAATAGTGGCACTTATTAAGGATCGTGATTTATAAGAAATCTCTTTGAAGGAATGAATCATGATTAGCTATTAAATATCAATTTAAGAACGACTGGAAAACGTCATTTCTTAAAAAAAAAGCGTGCAAACCTCTCTCAAGAAATTACTTCAAATCTCATCAATCTTAAACCTGTTATATTCGTTCCATCTTATTTTTCATATCCCTACGAACATTTTACAATATACGTTACGTTCACACCGAGCGTTTTCGATTGAGCAACAATATAAAAGACCCGTGCTTTCCTTGCTTCACGAGCAATTCTGATCAACGCGATGAATGCAGCCTAATAACGAATCACCCCGTGAAAAATGCGGGGAATAAAACCGCTCTCACACCAGAAGAACCATAATAGAACTCTTCCGAACGATAACAACCTGTCTACGTAAGTATAATAATCCATCCAATGGATTTTATTTCGCTTCGAGAAATGACAAATTCTAGGATATCTCGTTCTCAGAGAAGAAATGACACAACATATTTCCAGGATGCGAGCGGGTAATGAATTTTTCCCGCTGTGTTCTCTGTGGATTCTTTTCATTTTCATCTCTCCGCTCGGGGACAAAGTGTGTGGGGTCCGATAATGATGAAATAAAAGTTGTCGCGGCATGTTTTATGGCAACTGGTTATTGGCGGTGATGTATCGTGTTCGAATTAATGCATCGATCGAACAATGCCAAGGACGACATCTGCGGCGTATTCTGAAAAAGGATCGGGATAAAGAGGTCGAATGTTAAAATCGAAGGGTAGCGTATCAAGGATGAAAGAAGAAAATGGAGGCCACGCTTGTTATCGTTATGCATAATCATCGTGTTATTAAAGACCATCCAGGGGAAGAAGGATGGATGAATTTGTCGGAAGCGTTTACTTTTTACAACAAGGTCATAAAATTATCCCACCATATAAGTTATCCATCCTTGCTCAATTTTCATTCCAGATCGAGCACATATATGCAACATTGAAAGTATATACAACATTGTTATTGGTGCATAATAATTTCCAAGTCGATTGCATCAACCACTGGTATATTATGATATATCAAATATGGGTCATTGTGTAAAAAGGCGCGCCCAAGTTTATGATATCTAATAACTTTTACGAGATACTTGAGCAACGTTTAAAGTACAAGATGGATTTTTGTACTTTTCGTCAAAAAAATATTTTCAATCACTCGATCACGGATCACAATTCTTATAATATTTATACATCAACAACAATTTACCAACAAATCAAAATTAATAAAAACCACACCTATCAATTTATATTCATTTTTTCCACCACTATATCTATCTACACATCACCGAATGTAAATTACATTTACAAAAAAAAAAAACAAAACACAAAAACTTTATAATAAATTCTCCTACTGTATCCAGCCAGAATTTATTCCGCATCGAAATTCACACGGAATTTCTATATACCCTAATTATCGAATACCCTCCGCGCAGCACCTTTTCCTTAAACGGTGTCGCCGCGTTATTGGGCCCCTCCTTCCCTCCCCATATATAACGTCGAACATAAATTAGATCCGCGCCACCCGGTTCCGGGTGATCGAGCCGCCTATTGATCGTCGCAAATACGCCTCGTGATCTTTCGCAAGGGATTAGACATCCCGCGAGAGCGAAACGAAAGCGTCGTTATCACGAGCTCGCTTCGCCCGTTGTGTCTCCCGGCGGCCATATTCGAACGATATTCGCCAGCCAGATCCTACATAACCGTCCTCGTCCCCGTGCCAACGTGTTGTGTACGTACGTGTTACACGTATACGCGCGGTAAACACACGACCGAGTTGGGGAGGGGGAAAGAGACACACGGAAAGCGCACGTGTGTCTCCCGTACACAAGGAGCAACGTGTGATGGACTTTACTACTCCGCAAGCCTGCCCGTTAACAGTTCTTTTTTTTTTTTCCCTTCGTTCTGCCCCGGGTGCAACCCTATTGTTACCGGGTCGAGTCACGAGCAACGACGCTGGTTCTCATTACCATCCGTATCTACGAGGCTTTATCGCTCCGTCAGCCCAACCTAGTTCCTATTTCCCATCGTATCCAGCCTATATCTATATGTATATATACGTGGCACGGAATACGTGTCGCGGCCCGATCGCGGCTTTTCCTTAGATTCCCTGCCCGTCTCTCGATCTATAACAACAGCGTGGGAGAAACGTGGGTGCATTTTACGTATTGTTTCTCTGTCAAAGTGCGCGCCCTGTATTTATACAGGGTGAGTCGTTCCCGTTTTTGTTGCGATTATGCGGTTATGTCATACGTCACTTTTGCTTTGAAATATTTTCTCTACTGCTGCGAGTAATTAGGTGATGCGTAGATAAAGATATGAGTAGAATTTTGAATTTATCAGAACTAGTTAATTTTTTACCCCAATTTTGCTTCTCGAATATTCTTAAAACTCGAGGCTTGTAGAAAATTAGTGGAATTTGCATGCTCCAAGTCTTTATTAACTTCGACCAATGTTTCATTATTTCCATTAAGAAAAATAAGAGTAGTTATCTTCTCTATCCTTGATAAATTCATCTCTGTTTACTGAATCATTCGAAATGGCCAAGTCAGAAGGTTCACCCTGTATACATATTCATCAGATTGCTCCAGCTACCGTTTCGAAAAATCTCGTCCTTGATCCTTACATTTTACAAGCCGGCGAACGAAATTGAAATGATTTCATTCAGTCACGCACGAGTTGGCCTATCGTGAGAGTGTCTCGGCTAGATCGTTTCTCGGTTGACCGAGCATACCGGCACCGCGAACATACCGGCATGTTCGATTTTTCGTGGACCAATATATAATGATGTACGTGTACGCGAGAAGGTGTGCTAGTGGAAAAGATCGAACGAGGAATCGAGCTCTTACCACAGATAAATCTGAAGTGGTCGATCGAAAGGTTTCTCACGTCCCCTGATGGTCGTGTGTCATCTCGAAGACCTCTGTCGCCTTCGATGAGCCGCGATAGCGCGTCAACACGCCTTTCGAGGATTAATTTGCTTTCCCTTCCGCGCGATAATGACGTTAAAGTGGTTTTTCAGCACTATGATGAAAACTTTTCAAATTTATAATTGGAAGAAACCGGTGGTAACGGATTGACGATACAGCAAAGATAGATGGCGCAATCGTCGTCGGAGTAGCATTTGGATTTAATTCGAGTTTCGAGCGATTTGTGTGATTTATGCGAGAGTTAAAGTGATATCTATTACAATTTTGTAATTAAAAAATAAATAGGGTTTTATCAATTATTAAAAATTGTTGACAAGTTTTCACGAGTTCCATGCCTTCTAAAATTCTTCCCTTGAGAACCTGTACGCGATAAATTCCGCGACAAAGCGAAGAGAATTCACCCTCGTTTCGTCGAAAAGAATTCGACTTCGGAGAACTAAAAGGGGGATCGCCCCATTGTTCCCAACAATGACGCCACTTCGTCGATGCTCTTGACTGCTTTCGAGTGACCGTTTACGCAATACCGTTGAGCAGACGCGAAGATTAATACGTCGTTCCGCGGGAACGTGTTTCGAGAGCCACGAGAAGAACAACAAAAATTTGCATTCGTGCGGTGAAAGACTTACGATCGTTTTTTTTTTTTCCCCTTCTTTTTTTCCACGTTTCAGACTCTGAAATTGTATCGGGAGACAACTTCTTCGACGCTTTGGACAATGGCGTGGTGGTGTGTCGACTGGCGAGGGTTATACAGGAAAAGGCGAGGACGGCGATCGACGCTGGAAGAGCGAAAGGGGTGAGTAATTCTCTCGTTAAGTGAGCTCTCTCGACAATCGAAAATTGGATACGAATGTGAATTGGTATTGGATCGAAATGTAGTGCGATTTTATTTGATCTCTTTTTTTTGTCTATTTTTTGACTTGTTCTCCTGTATAGTTGCATTTTTTTTTAAATTTAATCATCGTAATTAATTCCATTGAAATTCCATTCTCTTTTTATATTTTTATTTTATAGAAAAAGAATTACTTTAGTTATTAGCATCGTTCAGAAACATAGATACGTTCCATACATTATCAATATTAAACTTTAAATTTTTCATTATAAAAAGTTTATAATGTTAATGGAGTATTCAATGATTTATGATCCACAGCTGTGTGCATTAATAACAAAAAGATCGGATTAGATTCTCTGTTCTATCATTCTTATCACATATAGATTAATTTTTTTCTTCAACTTTCCAGCCCCTACCGGTGATAAAAGGTCGTTGCTGGGAGAACGCAGCGCGTCGCAGTTTCTTCTCCCGCGACAACATGGAGAACTTCATACAATTCTGCAGGCGTCTGGGCGTGCACGAGAATCTTCTATTCGAGAGCGACGATCTCGGTAAGGAAGATCCGCCTAATCAATCTTAATTCCCTCGCATATCAACACCCGTTCCCTCGCCACGAACCATATTCAGTGCATATTCGACCATGTTCGAGCCGATTAAAAGCGAAATCCTGTCAATTACGCCAGCTCACTGCCGCGCGTCGCTTATGCAAATTCAAATCGGCCGCTAAGGGAGAGCAATCGGCGCGAATTAACCGTGTCTCGCGGTTTTCTTTTCTTTTCTTTCCATCGAGTTCGAACGAAACGAAAAAGCGAAATAAGTGTTTGTGATGCAACTCCACCGGAAGCGGAGGAGTTTCGGGGTTGCGTAAAAATCGGCTCGAAGAAAATGGATCGTGGGCGTGAAAAAATGTTTGGAAAAAGTATGAAAAGGGCATGGATCGATGTGAAGATAGCAGATTTCTTTGTTAGAATTTGTATTTTATGTCGAGTGTTTTTTGTGCAGTGTTGAATATGTTGGTTAATGAATATGACTAGGAAATATAAAGGCATTCTTATATTTAGAAATTAGAATTTTTACAGAAGTTTGTTGTATTTTTTTTTTATTTTTGATGTCAATTTTTGTGGAAAATTTTTCTTTCGACCACTTTTGTGCTTAATTTTGTGTGTCGTGAATGTTTGTGCAGGATTGTGGAGAATAAGTTCACTTTATTTCGAAATTCACTTTCTTCTGCTTTATGATAAATTCGAATTTTCGAAGCTAGATGATCTGTGTATTCCTTTGTAGATATCTTTCCTCTTCGATAGTCGTATTGTATATAATCACCACGAAAGTGACTTTTTTCAACGATAATTATATTTATTTCAATCATTAATATTAAGCAGGATTTTAAATGATGTTACGTATGTTAATGTGTATTTTGTACGAAGAAACACACATGGCGTGTCAAGAGTTAATTTAATAGATTCTATTAATAACACACGTTTCTCACATGTGGCGGACTGAGAATCGTAGAAGTGTAAGTGTCATATCATTGCATGTATACATTATTATGAAAATTTCATTATATCTTTTCATATTATGAAGAAAGTGAAGATTATAATATCAAATGGATGATAAACATATTAATTCAACTCACTTATTTTTTTTTTTTTCTTATTGAAATAGATATTTTATACTATTAATACAATGAAAAAGATTTCTAATTTTTAACTCGATACATATTCATCAATTCAATACATTCATATGATATGATACCTGAAATAGAATGTCGTGGTATTATTTAATCTGGACATAAAATTCAGCAGCTCGATACATTTGGACAAATATAATGGCGGAGCTTCTCTTTTTCGTCTTTGTTTCGTTTTGTAGAACACGTCGTGTTTGAAATTCTTCTCCATTAGAACATGAAACCGTGAATCTAGATTTTCGTGTCAGCTCGCCTCGTCGTCGAGCTAGAAACATAAAATCATCAGAAACGTACTTTTATCGTGGAACAAAACTTTTTTTCGTCACTTTACAAATCCGTGGATCACAAAAAAAAACAAATGGCTCGAGGGAGTAATTGAAATGGATTTAAAAAGCCTTGATAATCTATCATTCTCTCAAGAATGAATTTGTTTGAATCTCCATTAAAAACAGAGTAGTTTTTTTTAATTTTTGATTTACTTTTTAATTAAGAAAGAAAATATTCTCTTCGATTATTTGAACGTTCATCCCCATTTTCCTGGAACAGATGTAGTTAAAATTTTGTTATGACGAATATAAAGACTCTTTAGTTTGGTTAAAGTGATCTACTTGAACGAATAAATGAGATGTACCACGAAATGTAGGCTGAATTGATCAATTACAATTGGAGTTGAAGAAGGTCGAGGGTGTCACCGCTTATGTTCTGTAAATAGAATCTACATTTTTTTCTCCCTAGGGTAGATGAGACGGTCGTAAATTCTACTAGGTTTCTAGGCTGACTTGCGATTTTGTTCCGTGAATAGCGTATTAAATAATATTCTGTAAATAGTGTAACAGCGATACATCGATTTTCAAATAAGATATTCTAAATGATAAATTTAAAATAGAAATTTTTTCTCAACCTGTACGTTTCACCTGACTTTGAATGCGAATTGTAACGATTTTTATGCTCCAATAATCTCTCTCGTTTCTTATAAATAAATATGTAACCGGTTACTGTATAAACCGTTTTTTGATACATTCTAAATCAGTGTATCGTAAATAAATATCTAATTTGATAAATAATATGCATCAAAGTTAAATGCATTTTAATTCCTTTTTTAATTAGCGATTTTAATTTAATTCCAATTTAAAATCAAAAATGTAGAAATTACGTGTACCATGTTATTATTACCAATTTAGTAATATCATTTATTACATAAATTTGTTATTTAAGCTCATTTTTTGAGGAAAAATAGTTAAAAGAAAATCGATTCTCCATCTTCTTCCGAGTTCTTCCCATATGTTTCAACCGCTTATCGTATGATGCTGCAAAACACTCGAGGGATACGATAAGCTAAGAGGGATGCTCTTTGAGAGCAATAGCTCTGATAAGTAATAGTAATACCCTCCTCATATTGATATAAATTTCCATAGAGTGAAAGAAAACTTAATAACATGTGATTTTAACAAGGATTACTTTTCACATTAAAAATATCCCATCGAATAAAACTTTCTATTTAACGTTCCATTTTTATTTATCCACATTAAAATAAAATTAAAAATATGGTGTCATAGATGGTATGCTATATTGTGCCATCATTTTATTTTTGTTTAATTTTAAAGTTCTACACGGGCAGCCGAGAAACGTTGTGCTGTGCCTGTTGGAAGTGGCCCGACTGGCGTCGAGGTATTCCGTCGAACCACCAGGACTCGTGCAGCTCGAGAGGGAAATCGCCGCCGAACAAGAGCGGGATCTTCACTGTCTGTCCGATAGCGGTATATCCCGCAGCAGTCTGGTTCTTGGCAGTTTCAATCACCGTCACCGACCGCAACGCCCAGACCTCCTTCAGAGAAGATCAAACACAGCAGGTACGTGCGTTTTGATTTCCCTATTTCCATTTATATCCTCTGCTCTTGACAAGGTTGTTACCGTGCAATCGATACTTCCAATCGATACATTTATCTTTGGATACGAGATTACACAATTAGCGACAACGCGATGTTTGTCTAAATAAACGTTAAAAAGTTTCCATACGAATCGAGGTATGCACAGATTCGGTTAAAATGTAAAAAATAAGAAAAAGTAAGATTTTATTCGAATTTATATAGATCGAACGACAAAATCGTTATTCTAATAATAATAATCTTGAGAAGAGACGTGACGCGTATATGAGGCAAATGTGTGAAAAGAAACGAAAAATCTGGTGACAAAAGAGTTTCTCGAGAGTGATCGATATCTCGATTCATTCAGAATCTCTAGCGGTTGAAATTTAGGTAACGAGACAAAAGAATCCCTCTTCGATCGCTGTTCAACCCAATTTCGGGGTATATTTTTGCAGTTCAGCATCAGAAGTCGCGTTGACGGCGACAGGATGGCTGGATCCGAGCAACGGTGTGACGCACGAGCCTGAAATGAGAAGATCGATGAGCGATAATGGGCCGCCAAAAGGTAGCGATGGGGAACCGAGCGACACGACCGAGGATGACTGGTCACGTGGAAGCGCGGAGGATCCGGACGAGCTTCCATCGCCGACTAGTTCACCTTTGCCCTCGCCGGCCGAGCCACCGGAGCACACTGGTCCAATAACGGAACTCGATCGCAAGGTACGCTGCATTTCGAAGCATTTTTTTTTTTTTTCATTCGATAACAATGATTCATTGTAAGCTTGGAAAATGTAAATCGAGAAATCTTGATTTAAAAAGGAAAAAAAAAAAACTAAGTAAATTCTTTCATTTCTTTCTCGTAGTAATTATACCGATACGTATCTAGAATCGTAAATTTTACGATGAATGAATTAAAATGCAACACATATTTTATTATACTTTATCAATGGTATAGCATAACAGCATATGAATATTTTTTTTAACGGGGGTTTTAAATTATTAATGACGAATTTCAATTAAACTTTTTGTTTATCGTCTTCTACCATTATTGATTCAACTATTCATGCAGCAATTTAAACTTTCTATTAATTCTTATATTAAAAGCTATAAATAAAACAGCAATTTATTTATATCTCGAGTACACGTAATCCAATTTCAATAATCTCGAGACAGATTTGAAAGTACTTTTCAGTATTAAAGGTCGTTCAAATACCAGAAATTAAATCAAGGGAAAATCAAAATCAAAATAAATTCAGTTGAAATTCATCCTTCTATTGCATTCTTCTTTTTATCTTACATAATATATAAAAAATTGCATTCGTCATTGTTCTAACGCAAAACCCTTCTCTTATCCAACGAACAATGGTCGCCATTTTTTTCTTACCTGTAATTTAATTGACACACAATACCAAGCATTTTATCTCAAGTGTTAAAATTAGTGTTCTACATCCTTCGAAAAAATTAATTGCATTTCTTACGTAAGAAATACAGGTAACATTGACCACGAGCGTGCAATTTACTGCACACGAGCATCGTGTCACGTTCACCGTGAATGCCGGCCACAAAGAGAGGGAGAGAAACAATGGAGGCGAACGATCGCTTTAAGCTTTTTCACGTATGCGTTTGCACGCTCGTGGTGGATCCTCGGATTCCTACATGCAACGGAGCGGATGTTCCGAATGGTCTTTGCATCCACTTTCCCCGCGACACGCCGAACCGATTTATCTCACGGTGACAGACGATCACTCTTCTTCGTCTGTCAGAACGTAAAAATATATCGCCTCGATTCCGTGGCCAACTTTTACATCGTGATACGGCATGCTCCCTGTTTTCAGGTAAGAAGAGCTACAGAGGCCGTGCAGAGACTTTGCCAGTGCCCCTCCGAGAGATGCTCCAAACTGAAGGTGCGAAAGGTTGGCGAAGGACGGTATCATATCGCTGGACGAAATGTCTTCATCAGGGTACGTAATACAATATTCGTTCGTTTAAATAAATAAATAAAGTTTAAAAAATTGCGAACGGACAAAAAAAAATTTCGTTCGAACCAGAAGAAACTTCTTGAATTCTTTTAACTCGGAATTAGAATTGAAAGCGCGTCTCTAATTACTAATAACAAATATCCGACTTGTTGGCAGCTTTTGAAGGGGAGACACATGATGGTCAGAGTAGGCGGGGGCTGGGACACCTTGGAACATTTCTTGGCGAGGCACGACCCTTGTCAGGTGAGGACTCTCAACGCGAGCACGCCGCCTTCTCCTCACGGCAACAAGCACACCAACTTTCTTCCCATTCGCGCCAAGTATCGCAGTCCTCCGCCGGAATCCGTCTCAGCCCGCTAGCCTAAAAGCACAGTGCCTGTTACAAATCCACGCTACTTCACGTTCATATTGCTGTTGGTTCGTTTCGTACAAGTAGAGAAAGAACACGTTCGACAGGGTCAACTCTCGTTCCGCGTTTCTGTTTCTGAAATGATATATAAGAGATTGCAAGGATACCAAGCTGATAGATCAATCATATGCGAAAACCATATGCATGCTTGAATTCTTTATGGAATGTATAAAGGTCAATAGCATTTTTGATGAAAATGATATCTTCCTTCTTTCCAACCACTGTTTATAGCGTGTTGACGATATCGAGGGTTTTTTCGGATATCATTTGAAAAACTATCAGCCAATGTATCTATGTGCTACTCTCATGATTTATATATATATACTATATATATTATAGTATATTATAGTATATATATTATATATATATATATATACTAGATTTGTGTACACACCGCTATCTGTCACATATGTATAAATTATACAGAGGATGGCACTATTTTTTCTTACATTTAATACGCCTGGGAAGCACTAACATTTCACGTATATTCTAACAAGCGTGTTAATATGTTATCTTTCTTTTTAATATCGAGGAAACGATATTCCTTGATATCTTCATTTTCATATCTGTATAAAACTTGACGAATATGTATATTGTATAGATTTATTTACGTTCACTCGTTTTTTTTTTATACACTCATATAAGGTTATATTTTGTGTTTATATTACAAGCTATGTACTATACATGTACGTATAAAAATATGATTTGCGTTTATTTATACTTCCTTATGTATTCGTGTAAGTTGTTCATTTAGGAATACAAAGACTTGCCTTTCAATTCGTAAACGTTTAAGTGTCACGCATTCCACGGATGATAGGCATATTAACGCTTGATTTGGAAATTATCTAACAGAAATAGATGGGAGGGCAATGCACATGGTAGAGATAGTCGTAATACCGCAATGACCAAAGTTTGTAATGGTATACATACATATATGTCGAAACGACCACGGGCAATAATAGTTTATCGGAATATCGAAGGTAATGATCCGTTCATTGCGAACAACTTGCCTCAATTTCGAAGTCGATCTATGCGTATAATTAGAAGAAAGTGCAATTAAGGACTCAGGTAATGTTTTAAATCGATGTTTATCAGGCTAAATAGAATTACAGAAAATTGTGCTTTTTGATCGAACGACTCCGTCTTTTATAAAAATGCAAACTTTAAGGGATAGATAATCGTTTAAGAGATTGCAGGATTTCTGCCTATTTTATGGACAAACGAGAAAAAAGGTAAAAGGAATACGCGATAATAATAATAATTACTTATTTGTACTTGGTCATTGCTGCGGCCCATATGCGGGTGAATCTCGTAGTGCACTTAAATATTTTTCGCAATAAGCAATGTAAGGCACATAGATTATAATGAATAAAAAACAGGGTCGGTTAAATCGATTAATCGCACGCTTAAAATATTTAAGTATTTATCGTTAGATTATTATAAAATAGTGTCAAGAAATTGACACGAAATATCATTATGCTTCATGTTCAAAGAATATCTTTGAACTTTTTTCATTATTAAAATAAAAATCTAACTTTTTACATTATTCTTATAATTACCGACCCTGATGATAATTCTTACACTTTGGCACATAATCGATACATATTAAATCGGCTAACATGCAAAATGCTTTACGATAACTGCCATAATATATTTTGTACTTTTATAATAAATATGTAGGATAAGGAGTAACAAAGGACGTATTGTATCGAAATTACAAGGCGACATGTATTTATTCGGTTTACAGAAATGCAAGGACACAGTGTGCAAAGGAATACCAAAGCAAAGAAATATACGACGAGCAATGTCGGCACGTTGAGGCTATTAACGTTGTCGTTCAGAGCTTTTTGTTTTGTTAGACCTTTTCCTTTCTCTCGTCTAAATTGATTTTGTACCATAGTGTTATTTTTTTTTTTAAATTATTATTCGACGCGTAGTCTGTAATCGTTCTCTACATACTTGTTTCGTTCTTTACATATTTTATTTGCAAAGTGTATTTATTTGTAAATTATAATAGAATCAATTGCAAATGTAATCATAAAAGAAAATTTATTTCATAGTGTCATTATTACTACGCGCGAATGAAACTATTCCGCCATACTATATTATTATTATCATAAATGCGTTATTT